GATGATGAGGATAATTTAAACAGAGGTTAACGTAAGAAGACTAAAAATCGAGAAAAGGGGTGTTTAGGGAATTAATAATAACTAGAATTGTCAAATCATAAATAGTTTATATTTTCCCACTGTTTTTAGCAAAAGGTATAGGTTCCAAATAGCGATACTAAATATAGGATTGGTATAAAAGACAAAAGTAGTGGAGCGGGAATATTAAGCATTTTCACTTCAAACCTTGCCTTTACCTCCATAAATGTTAGCTTTAGTAAGGGGTGTGTAATATAAAGTTCGTACACAGGGTTTAAAAAATTTGTAAGGATAAGGGTGCGTAAATTCAACTATAATTGTTTGATTACTTCTTGTCATTAATAACAAGTTGGCATGAAATTAACCCCTTTGTAGAATATCTTTTTTTTCATCACAATTTAAGAATTTTCTCATATTTAAGTAGTACAAGCAAATGTGATACATGCTTGCCTTGTATACATATTTTTAGTTCTATACCTAAGTTAATATACCCTCTAACCGCCTATACATTATTACTTTATCATGCCAAAATGTTAGTCAACAATTCCTAATTAAATGGAGTATAAGGTTAGTAAATGTAGGCAGATATAAAGTTTTATTTAACGTTTCCAAGCACCCCCCCTTTTCAGTCCATATTGTCGCCAATTTGTCTTATTATACTCTTAAGGCAATAACTAATCAAAAACACCCAAAAACATTTTAAAAAATTTTTGACAGAGTTTCCCCTGTAACTGGCTAAAACTCCCTGCCAACCAACATAGGCACATCGATTTTCAAACAATTGAGAAATATGAGATAATTTACACCACTGCAAATACGGTAGAATAATTTCATATACAATAATTTCTTATAGAAGACAAGGAACTGTGATAATTGACAAACCTACAATAATAATATAATGTATATAGTAGACTGTGAAACAACAATAATTTCTTATACTCCCCTGTCAACCAACATAACATGCAATTAAAAAATATACTACAGTAGAGGGTCTCACTTTACATTCATGAATTCACCATAAAACGAATCCAAGCAAAGTTCAAAAAATTAGAACATTAATATGACTACAATTAAATCTACTTGTAAACTACATGACTTACCCAATGATTTGCCTCAGATTCTGAAGATGCACTTGTGCATACAACTTCCTAGTGGTACCATTCAAAGCCTCTTCAAGTCTCCTGGCTTGTGTCGAAAACTTTGTATGCACCTACATGAATATGATGGAGATCACAGAAAACCAAGATAAGGTACTGGAGCAGATGATCTGGGGTGCAATGAGGGATTTGTTCAGATGAACCACCTCGTTCCCGTAGATCTTGCTTGTTCCGATATACCTTTTTGGATCTATTCCCCCAATTTCACAGAAAATATGCGTTGGTAAACTAAATAACATAGGTATAGGAAACATACTTATAGAAAATAAAAAAAAGGTCCTACAAATGACATGGAAGGAAAATGACAGGGTCCTGCAAATGATGGCAAGGAAAATATCTAAATACATAGGAAAGAAATGAAAACACAGTACATTATGATATAATTTCAAAACATCTACAACCCTAGATAAGTGGTAGCTAGAATACGACAATGGCAACAAGATTGGAATGTTTTCTCAAAGTATATCCTTTTTACGCTTCATAGCTAGAAAACTGCCACAGGACAACAAATAGCTAGAAAATCTTCCAAAATAGACATAAAACTACTACAGCAATATAATCACTAAATCAGTAGCAAAATTATGAAGAAAAAGTTAATTATATACCTTTCAAGTAAAAAGGGCACAGTTTTGGCACCCCTCTATTTGCTATCATTCATTGTTCTAGTTAAATGATTTCGAATGGTGATGCACATTAGCTAATTTTTTTTCTAGATTTGGACCATAGAAACAGATGTTCCACAAGTGGCTTGGATTCTTTTCCTATTTTTTCCCCCTTACATGTAATCTATTCCACATGCATTATAAATTGCCAACCCTAACAACAACAATGTCCAATAATTTGCCAAATCATAAAACCCACTTCAATTCGTACAAACAAATAATCCCAGAAAAAAATAAAAACTCAGAAAACAAAAAAGAAACCTCTTATGCTGTTTCTGGTGAAAGGAATGGCAAATGGAGAAGAAAAGAGATGCCGGACTTAAATTATAATGCTACCACAGATGGGTTCCCAAAGGGGAAGCTCTGCAATGGCAGAGAGCTTCCGATGACAGCTTCGGAAGGGAAGAAGTTCGCCTGAGGAGATACGCCGCACCTCTACAAAATTCCAGAGCTTCCGAGGAGAAGTCCGACGGCTTCCGACGACAATGCTGTGGCTCTGATTTCCGATGACAAAGCTCATACCAACATTTAATCTGAGAGTGAGGAGGCTGCACGGAAACAGTAAAGGGAGTCTGGACTGAAGACTCTGGACTGAACACAAATGCGATACTGGGAAGAGTACCTCGCATTCCTCAAATGCGAGGTACTAAATCTCGCATTCTCCTAATGCGAGCTGAGAAACCTCGCATTAGAAGAATGCGATTTATTTTTCTTTTTCCGTGAAATTACTGACCTCGCATTTGTGAAATGCGAGGTACTTGAACTCGCATTTCACAAATGCGAAGATCACAAGTCTAGAATCAACTCCACAAATCACCCCCTTTGTAGAATACATTTTTTTTTCCATCACAATTTAAGAATTTTTCCGACAATTCCGAGTGTTTATTGTTTGAGCCTTTGGGGGAGCATATTCAGCACTGTCTTCACTTAATACTCAATCAAAGAATTTACTCACAGCATAATAAAACATATTTGGAATCATTACTAATCAATATCTAATAGTTTGGAATCATTGCTAATCAATCATATTGGTTGCGTTATAGTACGTATTGGCATTTGTAATCTACAATAGAACTAAACACTTGTAGTATTTGTTGTTATTTTTCGCTTCTCTTGGTTGGGGATTAATTAGGATGTAACAAAAATTGTCCTGCTGACCATGAAAATCTTTGGCTCCACCACTGCAGGCAGGAATGGATACCCCTTCAAAAGTGTTGCTTATGAATATAGGTGTCAAACCAACACATTTAACTAAATTTACTTATACCCGTCCATGAATAGATGGGTATGGATATCTTAAATTTTTGCATATGGGTATAAATGGGTTACCCAATAATACCCATTTATTAAGTGGATATTATTAGGTAATCCATCAAACCCAATTGACCCATTTAGAATTATTTTTCCCCAAATCTCTTCTCTTTCCCCACCCATTTTTTTTCCAAATTTTTCATTTTGTTAACTACTTTTGTTATTATTATTATTATTATTATTATTATTATTATTATTATTATTATTATTTGTTGGTTTTATCTTATCATTTTATTTTCTTTTAGTTTGTTAACTTGCTCATTTTTCAGTATTACCAATTTATGATAAATTTTAGCCTCTTTTCCTACCTTTTCAAAATGAAATTTTAAATTTACACATGAAAAAATGTTAAGGGTTCAAAATTTTTGGATTAAATTTTTATGTTAACTTTTATAGTACTTAGTTCAAATTTTTACATTCTTATTATTCGACTATTAAATACTATGTAATTTTACGACATAGAGTATAGATGGGGGAAAAATTGGTAATTAGGCTTATTGAACATTATAAGTGAATATTTAAAACTAATGATGGGTGCAAAGGATGGTATAAATTGATAACTTAGTTTGCAAAAATAAATTTAAATGAGTTTACAAAAATTTAAAATAAATGGACTATAAATGGGTAATTGGATTACCCATTTATATCCATTTAATTAGATAGGTATAAATGGGTTGACTCACTTATACTCATTAGCCATTCTACCCAACCCAAACCCGTCCAAGTCACCCACCTCTACTTATGAGTATGTGCCACGATCAACTACTTCACTGAAGCAGCGAATTAAGCTCCACTTGACGTTATTATTGTCTAACTGGAAAGTCCCGTCCCATGCTTGAAGTCCCGTTGTTGGCGATGTTGAGAGGAAAAGAAAAGTCTGGTTCTTCGATTATTACAGAAGCCTACTACTAAATGTTATGGTCCAATATCGAATGGTTAACAAAATTTCCAACGTCCTATACACGGTAGTTGACATGTCACATGTTGGAATTTATCAGCTAAGAATTATTAACAGCAACCTGCAGAATATATCCACATCAAAGGCTAGCCAGAAAATAGATGATTAGTACGTTCAGAATTTCTTCGAGTTAGATTAGTAGTACCCTATTAGTAGTACCCTATTGTGTACAAATATATATATGTACACATACATACATACCGATCTTGTAGATCTATCGGTCCAAATTTTGTCACATCTTTAAATACTTGAATTGGTAAAATGATGTGTTAAATTTTGAACTATCAAACCTATATACACTTGATCTACCTAAGTGTTTGCTCTAGACTACAGTCGTATTCACTCCCAAAGTCACCCAAGTGGAGAAGTCAACTCAAGTCAACTAGGAGGAAGGGAAATTTATTTTTAGAGAGAGAGAGAGAGAGAGAGAGAGAGAGGGGGGGGACAAAGTGGAAATTGACCAAAATTCAGCGGAAAAGGTTTTTTAAGGCAAAGTTTGGATAACTGAGAGAGGTAAAAGCTAAAACCACTGGGTCATTGGTTCAGTGGCCACCAGGGATCCCTCCTTGAGCTGTTGGTGAGGGTTCAAACCTCACCAGCAGCGAAAAAAATCTAAGAGTTGTGCCATAGCACTCCCTTGGTCTAGTTGGGTCTGTATATCCACTAGCCCCTTCCACAGCCTCCTTAGGCTCCCCTCCCCCTAGATTAGGATAGAGTAGGTTATACAAATGTATCGTTGCTGACAAAAAAAAAAGGGAGAGGTAAAAGCTAAAATGTATTACATGCGGTCACATAATTCCAAAACAATGACTATATATAGAGGTTGCAACAGAATGGACGAATGAGCATATATCGCCGTTTAGGACTATTGATTGATCATATAGGTCGGTCGATATGAAGAAACGCTACTTTTACTTGTTCCCTCTTGCAGTACTTGTTTCGCTGGACTATCTAATGATGACCGGCTTCACAGCCATGAAAAGATTAAGTTTAGGCACTGATCAATCTGCTCTTTTAGCCCTGAAAGCCCATATCACTTCAGAACAGCAAGAATTTTTGTCAAAAAACTGGTCTTCTACAGCTGCTGCACCCTCTGTCTGTGACTGGATAGGAGTCCAGTGCAGCTCCCGACATCAAAGAGTGACTGCTTTAAATATTTCAAACATGGGACTTACCGGCACAATACCTCCGGATTTGGGAAACCTCTCCTTTCTTGTTTCTCTTGATCTGAGAAATAACTCCTTCCACGGAAATCTGCCAGAAGAGTTGTCACATCTGCGCCGCCTGCGGTACTTCAGGTTAACATCTAACAACTTCAATGGAGAGATTCCAATGTGGTTTGGTCGCTTTCCAGAGCTCCAGTTCTTATTTCTGGGCAAGAATGGTTTTAGTGGTTTTATTCCTCCTTCAATCTCCAACTCGTCAAAACTGGAAACCATGACTTTAGCAGAAAATTTTCTGGAGGGTAATATTCCAGAAAAGATGGGAAATCTGACAGTTCTCAAAGAGCTGTATTCATCTAGGAATTATTTAGTTGGTCCGATACCATTGAGCTTCTGCAAGTTGTCTCAACTTCAAGTGCTAGACTTGGCATTCAACAGGTTTAGTGGGCATATACCCAAAGAAATTGGGAACCTGGAGAAGCTTACGTTTTTCTCCCTCATGAATAACTTCTTCACAGGTAATGCTTTTGCTTTGCCTTTTTGCATACGAACGAGGCCAAACTGCAATTAATGGTTATTTTTCCCTGTTTGGCACTGGGATTCAACACTATTTACTGTTTTACCAGCATGGCTTGGATGGCTGGTTTTTTTTTTTTTTTTAAAAATTTACTATTGTAACACCTCTGCTTCTTTATTCCAGAAAATTAAAAGCATAATTACCAACACAAATTTCCGCTTGCTAGTTACATCTCGACCAAGTAAGACAGTTCTCAATATATCTCTGAAATGAATATGATTAGTTCTGTCTTTGCGTAAAATTGTTAGGTGTAATTCCCCGAGAGATTGGCAAACTGCATGGTTTGAAGGTTCTCGTGTTGGGGCGTAACAACTTGACAGGTAATCTGGTCTATGAATAGCTTCACCACAGCAAATATTTGGAGTAAGTTCTGGGTGAAATGAATTCGTGTCATGTCTATTTGAATGTCCATAAACTTCATCAGATACTCCTACTTACTATGGAAAACATCCATCAAAAAAAAAAAAAAACTTAGAAGTTCTGAAGAGCTATACATTCCTTAGACGTAACTAAAGGTATCAATAATAACCTAATAATGTTGATCCATCCAAACCCGTATACTAATAACCCGCCCATTAATTTTGAATAGATATAAATAGGTATTCAATTAAATCCATCTAATTGGTGGATAATAGATTGACTCAACTCACTTATTTATACTCATTTAAAAATAATTATACATTTTAAGTTAGCATTTAATGAGTGTTAAGCAAATAAATTTCAATTTCTTATGAATCAAATAACAATAAAATACCTTTATTTTTTTTGTCAAACAACACGCAAAAAAATATAGAAAAAAAGAGTAGAATTTAAAGTGACTCATAAATGGATAATTAGATATACCCTGACCCATTTATTTAATGTATATAAATCTGCTAGCCTACCTGGGTGTGTGATTGGTAGGTACGATTCCACGAGAGATAGGCAATCTCCAAAACCTGCAGGGGCTCAATCTGGAATGGAATCAGATCACGGGAAGCATTCCAAGAGAAATCGGGAATTTGACGATGCTTACTGAGCTCTACTTCGCCAAGAACTCCTTGACAGGTAAATACGTCTTTAAAGTACCATTTTTTGGTGAAGTAAATCGAAATCGGTTAACTAAACACTTACATCCATTCAATTTTTCTTTTTTAATTTATAACTGGTTTCTTCAGAGAATTTTACAGCCTAATGATTGATATGCTTCCTTTGAAAATGAATCTGGTACGCAGGTACAATACCACGAGAGATGGGTAACCTTTACCAACTCGAGCATCTTGAGTTAACTTATAATGGCTTGAATGGCTCCATACCCCCTGGGATCTTCAACCTCTCAGCATTGCAGAGTATTGCACTTTCATTTAATCTTCTATCAGGAAATCTTCCGCGGGATCTAGGTTACAGACTGCCCAAGTTATCAGACATAGAGCTTGCTAGGAATAACCTTGGTGGAGTTATACCAGTGTCCATTTCAAATTGTTCAGAATTGTTGTTGCTTTCAATGGGAAGTAACTGATTCACTGGGTCCATTCCTGACGCCCTCGGGGACCTTAAACTTCTGCAATATCTAACCCTGCAAAGGAACAATTTAACAAGTGATCCTACATCTGTGGAGCTGAGCTTCATCACTTCATTAACAAAATGCAAAAACTTGAAATTTTTAAGCCTGCACGATAATCCATTAAATGGGCTTCTTCCAGCTTCCATTGGGAATCTCTCCGCTTCTCTACAGATGTTGTATATAGGAACTAGTGGAATCAAGGGCACCATACCAAGTCAAACCGGCAACTTGACCAATTTGCTATTGCTTGATCTACCATCGAATCACTTGACAGGAGGTATTCCAACAGCATTTAAAAATCTACAAAACCTGCAAGGTTTGGCTGTGCGAGATAATAATCTTAACGGCACCTTAGATAACCTTTGCAATTTGCAGAGGTTGGCTTATGTATACCTGACTGCGGACCGATTTTCCGGGTCCATACCAGAATGCTTTGGCAATATGACTTCTCTTCGGAAACTTGATCTAGGAAACAACTTTTTAGTCTCTGCCATACCTAATAGTTTTTGGAACCTCAAAGATCTCTTGCAGTTGAACTTATCCTCAAACTCCCTTAATGGTTCCTTGCCTCTTGAAGTTGGAACTCTGAAAGCCGTAACATCTATCGACATATCGGCGAATCAATTCTTTGGTGATATTCCTAGCACAATAGGTGATTTGCAAAACCTGTTGATTTTAAATTTATCCCAAAACCAATTTCATGGATCTATCCCAGAGTCATGTGGCAGTATGCTCAGCTTACAAGGACTTAACCTATCGCATAACAATCTTTCTGGCTTCATACCAAAGTCATTGGAGGCGCTTCGAGCCCTCGAAGAGCTTGACGTTTCTTATAACCATTTAAGTGGTGAAATTCCTTCTGGTGGTCACTTTAGGAACTTTACTGCTGAATCTTTTCTGTTCAATGAAGCATTGTGCGGAGATTCCAGGTTTCATGTGCCGCCTTGCCCAAGACCTAATTCAATTCACAGGTCAAGAACTAAAAAGGTGCTTCTATTTGTATTTGCTCCTCTGGGACTCGCTTCTGTGGTTGTCGCAGCCTTAGCAATTGTCTTCAGAAGATATTGGAAGAAATATCGGGATTCCAAAGGAGTAAACATGGTATTAGTGCCAACGCAAGAAAGAGTTTCGTACTATGAACTTCTTCGAGCAACTGATGGCTACAGTGAAAGCAATTTGCTTGGCATTGGGAGTTTTGGATCTGTTTACAAGGGGATTCTCAATGACGGAAGGTCTATTGCTGTAAAGGTTTTCAATTTGGAATTGGAAGGAGTACTCAAGAGCTTTGATGTAGAGTGTGAAGTCCTGAAGAACCTTCGACATCGAAATCTTGTGAAGGTCATCAGCACTTGTTGGAACCAGGATTTTAGGGCCTTGGTGCTTGAATACATGTGCAATGGAAGCCTTGAGAAGTGGCTGTATTCTGACAACTATTTCTTAGATACTCTACAGAGATTGAATATAATGATAGATGTGGCAAGTGCAGTGCAATATCTGCACGAAGAATATTCGACGCCTGTGATTCACTGTGATTTGAAGCCCAGCAATGTCTTACTTGATGAAGATATGGTTGCCCACGTCAGCGACTTTGGTGTCGCAAAAATGCTGGAAAAGGAGGAAAGCTTTGCATGGACCAAGACCTTAGCTACAATTGGCTACATGCTCCAGGTAATGATTCTTCAATCTAATCCCAAACGTTTGTATAGCATTAAGTTTCTTTTTTCTTTTTTGTCTTATGATACACTTGTTCAATTTGAACGTTTTTTGTAGAGTATGGATCTGAGGGGTTGATATCCGCAAAATGCGATGTTTATAGCTATGGAATCATGCTGATGGAAGTTTTTTCAAGAAGAAAGCCTAATGATGAGATGTTTGCTGGAAATTTGAACTTGAAGAGTTGGATAAATAATTCTCTGCCTAATTCGATTCTTCAAGTTATTGATGCCAAGTTGTTGAAGCGTGAGGATGAAAATTTCACTGAGAAGCTGGAGGTTTTATTGTCAATCTTGGAATTGGCCTTAAAATGTGTCTGTGAATCTCCAAGTGAAAGAGTTAGTATGAAAGTTACGCTGGAGACACTGAAGAAGATCAAACTCAAATTTTTGCGGGTCATGGAGGTCGATTCGTAGTTCGGATTGAATAAATAGCATTTCTCATATCTTGAATCACTACTGGATATGTATTCCATAAATTCTATTCTGGTTCACAATTGGCTGATCGAAGGTCATTTCCATTTGAATGAAGGTATGGTCAGGCTAGAGAGAGAGAGAAATTCTGCTATCACCATTCTTGAAATTCGTTGTGTGCACTGCTGTATAATGAGGACCAGTTTCATAATTCAGCATTGATCAATCCACTTTTCTAGCCTAATACTGGAAAACTTATATGCAGTTTATGATTTAACTGTATGCAAAGAAACAAAGAGTGTTTAACAAATTCACCTGAAATTCTTGGCATTATAGTGAACTTTTCCTCAGAAAACGTCAATCAGTGGAAATGTTTCTTATCCATGATTTTGAGCGTATAAATACAGAAGGACACGTTGAAATGGAAGCTTAGACAGCAAACTTGCCTTCATAATCTAAAACTTCAAAATCAATTATCCTACGAAATAAATTCGAAACTTCCACATTGTTTAGTTCAGAATGATTTACTCTTTTAAGGGTACATGGGTCCATAACACAGAAACCTCATATTAGCCGGAGATCTTGATTGAAGTTGTAACATTTCTCCATAAAATCCTCAGAGTGTGTCTCTATACAATTTTTCCTAGTCTATTATTGATAAATGCTTCAAAAATTAATTTAGGAGCCACGAAAGGTTATCCATTGATTTACATTTGATGACATTTCAGCTGAAATATTTATTCGCAAGTTTCCTGGTGAATGTACCATGTCGAAAAATCAAAATTTGGTCTTTGTAGTTTGGAGTTTGGAGAAAGTGCTAGTTAAAAGCAAATATGAATTTTAAGATGCCAAACTAAGAGATTTGAATTTTGTGAATGAAGCAAATGTCTCTGGCTCTCTGAATTGTGTTCATTCTCGATCCCCTAATCGTGTTTTCCACCTCATGAATTTTGAAATTATTACTATAAAAGACAAAAAGAAGTATACTGGCAAATTTTTTTTTTTTTTTTTGAAAACGACAATTGTTGTATAATCTATCTATCCTAGATTACTGGGGAGGGGGAGCCTAAAAAGGTTTTGTATTAGAGGCTAGTAGGTACACAGACATTACTAGACCAAAAGAGTGCGATAGCACAACCTTTGGATTTTTTTTGCTGTAGGTGGGATTTGAACCCCCCATCTACAGCCCAAGCAGGGTCTTAAGACCCATCTTAGTGGCCACTGAGCTTAGCTCAATGGTTGTATACTAGCAAATTTTCATTTATGCAGTACCTCAAATTGCTTGTAAATTTATCCAATATAAATTTTTGATTGGTGGGCTTGAGTTTTCCTTCACTGAGTGAATGGCTGCTTCCAACTACCTTTAGGTTAGGGGTATCCAAAATCGAAAAAATCCGATTTACCGATCGATTTCGAATTGAATTCGGAATTTCGAAATCGGTAAATCGGTAATTCGGAATGGAATTCGATAATTCATATTTCGAATTGGTCGAAATCGGGTCGAATTCAAAAATATAATTTTTGAATTCGGAATTTGAAATAGGAAAATATAATTTCGAATTCAATTTATAATATTTATATATATAATATAATTTTTTAACAATATATTATATATGTAATATACAATTCATATTATTAACCTATTAAATTAAATTGCAAAACAACTTCCAAAAAGACAAAAAAGTAAAAGTGCAAATTGCAAAACCTAATCTTCTGCCTCTTCCTCATTCATCAATTCCTCTCTAATAAACCTTCCTTTCTCCGCGGCTCTGCCTCCACCTCCACCGCCAGTCTGTCACAGAGAAAGCAAGCTTGTTCTTGGCTTCAGAGCACAATACTGTAGTCATCAATATCAAACTCTTACAATTCATCAATTTAGTAGTCCTTTTCCCCAAAATTCTTGCACCAAAGTTGAGATGGAATTGGGCAAACAGGCATATACGGCTGTTGCTCGAGCTTGATCGAAATCATGGCGATTGGGATACAAAGGAGGAAGACGCCATCCATGGGGATGGCAGTATTACGCTTCCAGTGCTTGGGGTGCCAGTAAGGCCCACCAGCCATGCTCCAGACTTTGGTCCTAAAGTTACCTGCTCTGCCATGCCTAAGGATGGCAACACGGTCACCCGCCCCGCGGGGGACTAATGGGGCGGGGGTGGGGGAAAAATTCCCCCTCGCTTAGAAACAGGGCGGGGACGGGGGAGTGTACCCCCGCCCCGCCCCGCCACCCGCTTTAAAAAAATAAATATATAAAATACATATGTATCCGCTTAGAAACGGGGCGGGGGACGGGGGAGTGTACCCCCGCCCCGCCACCCGTTTTAAAAAAATAAATATATAAAATATATATGTATATAATTACATATATAATATATAATTTAATTAGTTACAAACTTATGATAATGATATTATTAGTTATATGTATTATTTAATGTATATTAGTATATGTAATATAATTGATATTATCAATTATACTAATAATTATATATGTGTACTAATACAAATTATTAATTGTTATACTAAATTTACTAATACATTTATACTAAATCCCTAATTACACTTAATATAATAACATTTCTTTCTTAAAAAAAAAAGCACAAGAACAATAATGAATTAGTGATTGTATTTGTGCAAAAAGTGAAAACTTGACTACTTTAGTTGTATTTATTTCATCATATTGGATTGTATTCAAATAACTTTTCTTTGATTGTTTTTATAAGTTTCAATTGTGAAATTGCAATGAATAATAATTTGGTGATGTTTTAAAATTTTAGTAATTGATTATTTACTAAAATTTAACTATAATAAAATTATATAACAAATTTTTATTAGCCCTGCGAGACACCCGCAGGGGAAGCGGGCCGGGGCGGGGGGAGCGAGGGACGGGGGACGGGGCGGGGGTGGGGGGGATTTGTAGGTAGCGGGGCGGGGGACTCTCCACTATAAAAAGAATCTTTAGGAACGTTACTGCTGAATCTTTTCTGTTCAATGATGCATTGTGCGGAGATTCCAGGTTTCATGTGCCGCCTTGCCCAAGGGCTAATTCAGTTCACAGGTCAAGAACCAAAAAGGTGCTTCTATTTGTATTTGTTCCTCTGGGAATCGCATCTGTGGTTGTCGCAGCCTTAGCAATTGTCTTCAGAAGATATTGGAAGAAATATCAGGATTCTAAAGGAACAAACATGGTATTAGTGCCAACGCAAGAAAGAGTTTCGTACTATGAACTTCTTCGATCGAGCAACTGATGGGTACAGTGAAAGTAATTTGCTTGGCATTGGGAGTTTTGGATCTGTTTACAAGGGGATTCTCAATGACGGAAGGTCTATTGCTGTAAAGGTTTTCAATTTGGAACTGGAAGGAGTGCTCAAGAGCTTTGATGTAGAGTGTGAAGTCCTGAAGAACCTTCGCCATCGAAATCTTGTGAAGGTCATCAGTGGTTGTTGGAACCAGGATTTTAGGGCCTTGGTGCTTGAATACATGTGCAATGGAAGCCTTGAGAAGTGTCTGTATTCTGACAACTATTTCTTAGATACTCTACAGAGATTGGATATAATGATAGATGTGGCAAGTGCAGTGCAATATCTCCACGAAGAATATTTGACGCCTGTGATTCACTGTGATTTGAAGCCCAGTAATGTCTTACTTGATGAAGATATGGTTGCCCACGTCAGCGACTTTGGTGTTGCAAAAATGCTGGAAAAGGAGGAAAGCTTTGCATGGACCAAGACCTTAGCTACAATTGGCTACATTGCTCCAGGTAATGATTCTTCAATCTTAATCCTAAAGTTTGTGCATAGCATTTAGTTTCTTTTTTCCTTCTTTTATGTGACACTTGTTCAATTTGAACGTTGTTTGTAGAGTATGGATCTGAGGGGTTGATATCAGCAAAATGCGATGTTTATAGCTATGGAATCATGCTGATGGAAGTTTTTTCAGGAAGAAAGTCTAATGATGAGATGTTTGCTGGAAATTTGAACTTGAAGAGTTGGATAAATGATTCTCTACCTAATTCGATTCTTCAAGTTATTGATGCTGAGTTGTTGAAGCGTGAGGATGAAAATTTCACTGAGAAGTTGGAGAGTTTATCATCAATCATGGAATTGGCCTTAAAATGTGTTCGTGAATCTCCAAGCGAGAGAATTAGTATGAAAGTTACGCTGGAGACACTGAAGAAGATCAAACTCAAATTCTTGCGGGTCAATTAATAGTTCGAATTCAATATAATCATCCGAAATATTACGAAATACATGCCAATCTGTTCACTTTAAATAAACCAAAAGCACATGTAATCTTTGTTAATTCTTCATTGCATCTGTTGAACATTTGTTGTATTTTCTGCCATTAGTGCAGATCTTATGAGTTGAAATGAAATTGTTGTGTTGTATGACTGCAAGTCAACATGTATTATTAACTCGTGGAATTTTTTAATATGGTTTTCAAAATGAACCTTGTGAATGTGTAGTTCTCACTAATGATATCTGATTCAATTATTTGTCAATTTCTTAAACGTTAGGGAATCATAAAGCTCAGTGATAGCATATCCCTTGCTTCTGGCTTAGATTATAAAACAATTCCCAGAAAAGTCTATTTCCAATTCATCCAACAATTTTGGAAGTTGTAGCATAGTTTCCAAAATTTCTCATATCTTGAATCAATGCATATGTATTCCATAAATTTTATTCCGTTTCACAACTGGCTGATGGAAGGTCATTTCCATTTGAATGAAGGTGTGGTCAGGCGAGAGAGAGAGAGAGAGAGAGAGAGAGAGAGAGAGATTCTGCCATCACCATTCTTGAAATTCTTTTTGTGCATTACTGTATAATGAGGACTAGTTTCATGATTCAGCATTGATCATCTGTATAATACTGGAGAAACTTATATGCAGTCTATGACTTGATTGTATGCAAATAAACAAAAAGTGTTTAGCAAATATTCTTCACGAAATTCTTGGCATTTTTGTTAGGGCTGGCCCAAGAAATAGACAAACTCAAATTAGAACAAAGTAGGCGGTATAACCGACTATATAATAGATAGGCGGTAGAAATCAGCCATAAAATAATTAGGCGGTAAAACCGACCATATAAAAACGGATAACAAAACAAATAAAAGACACAGAAGATTTACGTGGTTCGGTCAAATTGACCTACGTCCACGGGCGAGGGAGGAGCAATATTTCTACTATGAAAAAGAAATACAAAAGCCGTAGGAAAGTGGTTCCTAGGCCAAAAGGCACTTATAAAAGAGTTTAGAAAATATTCCTAAATTCAAAACAAGAGAACCTAAAATATTTGACTAAACGGGCTAAATGACTCAAGAAGCTAATAGCCCATATAACTCTCTTGAGTGGTGCGCCTCAAACGTTTAATGGCCTCTTCTATTTATAGGGATCAAGAGGGAAGCCTTCCGTTTCTGATTTTCGATGTGGGACGCAAAATTCTGCCATCCAAGGTCAAGAATTGCGGCTGCGGCTTGACAAATCAACAAATCTCCACCTTGGCATAATTTTAGTTCCACTATCGACAATAGTAAAATTGCTCCACCTTCTCCACATAAGTCCCAATGGGCTTAAATCACCAACAATAAATACCAATCAAATCCAAGCACTGCTTGAACTTGTAAAGTGGAAGATGTTTGGTAAACATATCGGCTGGATTGTCCTTAGTATTGATTTTCTGAATAAGGACTTTCCCTCAGCAATGATATCCCGAATGAAGTGATACTTCACATCAATATGTTTCGTCCTCTCATGATACATCTGATCTTTAGTCAAGTGTATAGCACTTTGATTATCACAGTGAATATCAGTAACACCTTGATATAGACTTAGCTCGCTAAATAAACTCTTCAACCACAAGGCTTCTTTGATTGCCTCGATCATAGCCATATATTCTGCTTCTATAATAGACAAAGCTACGACAGGTTGTAGAGTAGCTTTCCAATTGACAGCACAACCACCAATGCAAAATACATAACCTGAAAGTGATCTTCTCCTGTCAAGATCCCCAGCGTAATCTGAGTCTACAAAACCAACCAAAGTGTTATTATTTTTTCCAAACTCCAAACATGCATTTGAAGTACCTCTCAAGTATCTGAGAATCCACTTCACAGCCTGCCAATGTGCTTTACCAGGGCACGACATATATCTGTTAACAACACTGACTGCTTGTGCAATATCTGGACGAGTACAAACTATTGCATACATAATACTGCCGACTGCACTGGAATAAGGAACCCGTGCCATATAATCTTCCTCTTCATCTGATTTTGGTGATTGAGCAGCAGATAGCCGAAAATGGCTAGCAAGAGGAGTAGATACTGATTTAGCATCTTTCGTGCTAAAACGCTCCAAAACTTTCTTAAGGTAATTTTTCTGGGTCAAAAACAACTTCCCTACTCCTCAATCTCGTTTGATATCCATGCCAAGAATTTTCTTAGCTGCTCCCAAATCTTTCATTTCAAATTCACTATTTAACTGCAGTTTCAAAGTCTGAATTTCTGACAAATTCTTGGCAGCAATGAGCATGTCATCAACATAAAGCAGCAAATAAATGAAAGAACCATCATTTAACTTCCGGAAGTAAACACAACTATCATACATGCTCCTCAAATAACCATGACCCAACATAAAGGAATCAAACCTTTTATACCATTGTCTTGGAGACTGCTTCAATCCATATAAGGATTTTTTTAACAAGCAAACATGGTCTTCCTTACCTTCAATTTCAAAACCCTGGGGTTGCTTCATATAAATTTGTTCTTCAAGTTCGCCATGCAAGAAAGCTGTCTTAACATCAAGCTGCTCTAACTCCAAATCATACATAGCAACTAAAACAAGTAAAACACGAATAGAGCTATGTTTAACAACAGGTGAGAATACATCATAAAATCAATACCTTGTACCTGACTATAGTCCTTTGCAACCAATCGTGCTTTATATCTTGCATTTTCAACCCCTGAAATACCTTCTTTTTTCTTGAAAATCCACTTGCAACCAACAATTTTCTTAGCTGACGGCGGCATTACAAGAACCCAAGTTTCATTAAGATGAAGAGATTCAATTTCTTCATTCATCGCAATCAACCACTTTGCAAAATCATCACAAGAAACTGCTTCTGAATAGGTGGAAGGCTCACCAACTGCATCAGTTTCTTCTGCAACAAATAAAGCATATGCAACTAAATTTGCATGTCTTTGTGGTAGTCGAATGTTTCTCCTTGCTCTATCTCTGGCTATGGAATACTCTTCTTCTTCTGAACTATCTTCAACAGTAGATTCAGGTGCATCTACTGGCATTTGTTGAATAGAAGATTTGATCTGAGAAGGACCAGAACTGCCAATATCAAGCTCCGCCTGCTTTTGTGTACTATCAGTAGTACAAGGACTAGAAGACTCCTTCTTGGAAGATAACATAGATAATTCATCAAAAGTAACATCTCTACTGATCACAAATTTTGAAAATTTGAGATCAGGACACCATAAACTGTATCCTTTAACCCCAGAAGTATACCCAAGAAAAATGCACTTTTTAGCCATAAACTCCAATTTTTCATCATTCACGTGCATGTATGCTGGACACACAAAAACTTTTAAATTGGAGTAATCAGCAGGAGTACCTGACCAAACTTTCTCAGGAGTTTTGAAATCAAGAGATGCAGAAGGAGAACGATTGACAACATAACAGGCCATATTGATTGCCTCTGCCCAAAAGTCATTTGTCAACCTTGCATTGGAGATCATACATCTTGCTCTCTCCAAAAGTGTTCTGTTCATACGTTCAGCCACACCATTTTGTTGAGGTGTCATCCTGACGGTGTGATGCCGAACAATTCCTTCATTTTTGCAAAATTCATTAAATTCACCTTCACAAAATTCCATGCCATTATTTGTTCTCAACCGCTTAACATGTTTTCCTGTTTGTTTCTCAATCAAAAATTTTCATTGCTTGAAAGTTAGGAAAACATCATTTTTATGCTTAAGAAAATATACCCAAACTTTCCTTGAATAATCATCAATGAAAGTCAACATGTACCTGACACCACCTTTAGAAGGAGCACGAGAAGGACCCCATAGATCTGAATGGATGTAATCAAGAGTACCTTTTGTCTTGTGAATTGCTGGTGAACTGAACCTGACTCTTTTCTGCTTCCCAAAACTACAATGTTCACAGAATTCCAATGGCCCGGTACTTTATCCATAAAGAAGTCCTCTTTTGCTCAGTATGCCCAAGCCTTTTTCGCTCATGTGCCCCAAACGCATATGCCATAATTTGGTGATGTCTGTATCTGACAAAAATGATGTTGAAATAGCAGCAGCACCTGTAACAGTAGATCCCTGCAATATATATAGAGTACCAGATCTGTGTACCTTCATAACAACAAGAGCTCCTCGAGTGATTTTGAGAACTCCGTCTCCACCTGAATACCTGCACCCAATAGATTCAAGAGTGCCCAAAGAGATGAGATTCTTCTTCAAATCTGGAACATGTCTAACATTTGTGAGCGTCCTCACAATACCATCGTACATTTTAATCCGGATTGTGCCTTTGCCAACAACTTTACAAACAGCGTTGTTGCCCATTAAGACAACTCCACCTTCAGTTGATTCATATGTTGAAAACCAGTCCCTATTGGGACACATATGATATGAACAAGCCGAATTTAAAATCCACTAATTGTTAGACCTAAAATTATTTTCCATTGCACAGAAAATGGTTCCATCATTCTCATCAGCTGCTATACTAGCTTCAGCGGATTCAGTATTTTTCTCAACAAATTTTTCTTTTTGCTTTTCTTTATTTTTCAATTTAAAGCAATCAAAGATAACATGGCCCTTCTTTTTACAATAGTTGCACACCACATTTTTATGTCTGGACTTGGATCTACTTCTATTTTCTGTGTTTCTCTTTCCAAATCTACCCCGAACAAACAAACCATCGGCTTGACTCCCACTAGTTTCTCCAGTAATATCCCTATCTATCTGCTCTTTAGATTTTAATGCAGATTTAATTTTTCGATACGAAATTGTTTCCTTTCCATAAATCATAGTATCATGAAAATACTTAAAGGACTGGGGAAGGGAACACAAAAGTAATAGGGCCTGATTTTCATCATCAATTTTCGAATTTATATTCTCCAAATCCATAATAATGGAATCAAATTTATCAAGGTAGGAGAGTATAGATGTACCTTCAGACATCCGAAACATG